TTATATTAATCAAATTCTTTCAAAATCTTTTTTTGGTCAAACATATATTCATGGTAAATTGGATTTAATCGCTCTCAAAGCGATCAAACTTGCTTCATTCGGAAACGCTAATAGTTACCGGTAGAGTCACTCATGCCGGACAGGTCGAAGGGAAGGAGCCAGACTAAGAGAGATACCGTAATATACAACTTATTTATTACTTAAAAATAATATTTAATTATATAATACTACTAGATGATTTGGCGTAACTATTTAATTTTTGCATTTCAAAATTATCGATTAGTTTTAGACTAAAACAAATTTTTCTTGATGATTATCTGAAAAAATTGGTTGTGTGTCTATTCACAAAATAATTTGATTTACAAAAATAGTAGATTCAGCGTATATAGATCTTGTGACACGCGTTTTATTCATACAAAAAATTGGACTCCCTAATGAATTCATATCGAAGAAAGATATACTATTTTTCTAGCTACAGATCGGAGATTTTTTATTATACTAACTTAACATTGCCGTGCTAGCTTTATATATAGCTGCCATTTGAAGATCTCGGAAATTTTTAAAACACCTTAGGCTCTTTTCTCTCCTTGTCATTTTCCTTATTTCAATAAACCACAATTGATGAGCCGAAGACGCATGCACGTATACACATGTAAAACTTGATCGCCTTGGCAAGATTTTAAATCGAGATTATAAGCGTAAGATCACAAAAAGTCAGCTAAATTTAAATTTAATAAAAAAACGTGAATTTATCCATTTAAGATCCGACAGGACAATATTATAAATCCCGTCATTGGGAAAAGAAAGGAAAAATAATGTGCATTAAGAATTAATTGAATATTATCCAAATATTAACACGATCATGTTACAAGATTTACAATGCATTTATCGATGGTATGAAATTAATAATATTATATGCAAATATTATATAAATTTATTAATAATATTATACAAATACAAAAATAATCACGACGCGAATAGCCGTGTCTCGAGATTGTCGGTCTCCACAAGGATCAATCCTTAAAGCGATCGCAACCGCGTCCGCGCTAGGTTTTTTCCGATTTGTCATCTTGTCAAGACTCGCCTACGATTTGCCGATTTTTTCCATATTTCTGTCATTCTGTTATTCTTCGTTTTCCTCGGGATGTTCGGCAATGTATTGAAGGGCCTTCTTGATTAGTGGCGGTACCTGAGGCAAATGAGCACCTTCCGGCTGGAATCCGTTTTCATTGGCTACATACGAGATCTGGAAGGTGTTACCCTCGTTATCAGTGTAGCTGTAGCTGCCTCGCGCTTCTAGGGCCTCCTGGTCGGTGCCCACATTATTAAGGTGACCCTCTTCCTGAGCTTGGATACCGTTACCGGTTTCGTAGCTGTAGTTATAGGAACCATCGGGGTTGGGCCCGTCTAGAGCTTGTCTGACAACAGGAATTTGGTTGAGAGATTTAGCTAACACGCTGTCATCTACAGCACCGGGTGGCGGTGCTGCTATTGTCGCAGTCGCTGCCACGAGAACGCACAAAATCATTGCCTGTAAAGACAGAAAATTGTATAGTATTTCAAATTGTATATTTTAAATTCGAAATTATACTAAATCACACACACACACACATCACAATGCGGTAAATACTAAAAAAAGAAAAGAATCCCGAGTAACAAAATATTCCTACAGCGAAGATTATTTAACAAGTAATTGATAAATCTGGAAGTATCTTTGTCGTATAAATATAAATGTCACTAGACAAGTATTAAAGATAAGAAAAATTATTGTTGATGCAAAGTACATTTATTTATTAGTTAATTAAAATTACATGATTTTATCAATAATATAAATACTTGTAGTTTAGCGTAATTGAGTAATTTAAAAAAATCAATATCTTAAATTTTGATTTTAGATTAAAGAGAAATTGCACGCATAAATGTCACTTCGAAAGAAATTGCTTATATCAATTCTATTTACAAAAATGCTGCAAATACGAGATCACACATAGATATCTCGTACCACTGCGTCACGTAACGTCTCTTACTCGCACAAAAACTTAAACTCACCAATGAATTCATGTTGAAAAAGAGTATATTATTTTTCTTAGCTGCTGCTCGAAAGTTTCTCACTGCACTGACTTAACATCTCGTACATGCCTTCTGCTTTATATATACGCCATCCAAAGATTCTGGGACCTTCTGGTAATACCTTATTTAAGCCCCTCTTTGCCCCGGATCCCGCTTGTCCGTTACCCCACTCCACGAGCCATAACATACATCCGAATTTTGCGGATGAGTCGAACGCGCATTCACGCACACATGTATAGCACATAGTTATATTTGTGCCTAAAATTGCAAAAGGTCGGATGAATCTGAGTTTAATAAAGAAGTGAACTCACCCAGTTAAGATCTGACGGACAAAATTATAAATCCTGTCACCGTAAAAGGAAAAAATAACGTGCTTTATAGCAGTCCATATTTAATAATTATAATTAAGACTTGTCAGCAATTGCCAAACGAGTGATTTGATGACGTGTCTTACTCTTGATGCAAATATGGATTTTAGAAGCTACCGTAAAAACATGATCCATTTATTTTAAATAAAATTTCAAATATATATATGTAAGGATATGCTAAATATATTTAATATCAAGGACAAAAAAATCACACAATGTCAATGCAAGGATTATCATAGCATGTGCCATAAAAGTATTACTAATCCGTAGGAAAGGATCTTTATAAAATATTTTACAAATATGATATATGTATACATATAATATATCAATATAAAATATTATAATGTAATCAGTATCAAATTAAATAGAATCTCATAAATTTTTTTTCAAAGGGCTGTAACATCGAAAATGAATATTTGCGGATAGTTTTATTATATATTACATAATTATGTATTAATTGTATTCTTTTAGAATAGAAATTTCACATAATAAAATATACTATACAATTTCTTTATTTTTTGAAAATACGATTAATAGAAAATAATTATTCTGTTATTTCAAAAAAGACTGATCGTCAAAATGTATTCATTAATCCACGAGCTGTTTAAAAGTGAGCAAGAAGAAAGAAAGATATCGTAATTTAAAAAACAGATAACGTCACGACGAGATTTTTTTTTTATCACAGAAGATGCACAGACAACGATGATAAACGCGTCATTGGAATATAAAGAAGATAGATATCTGTGTTAAAGGACAACTTGTAACCATCAGAGAATTCCACATATTCATGATATGTTAAAAACAACGCATAAGATATCGATTGCGATTTATGTAACGTAGTCGAATCACCGGACTATCCAATATATCTCCGTGATATTCTTCTTGAAATATTAGTTACCTCACTGTTCCGTGCGAGTTTGCATTCAGTCTGGATTCCGAAATTTTCTGGCAAATGTCTTACAAATTGTCTCCGGATGTCGTCGCTGACGTAAGATGTAAGTGCCATTGATTCTTTTACAGTTGTAAGTAATAAATATCAAATCATGCTCTTTATGCTCGGTATAAATGAAAGAACAAGCATAAGATTTGTCAAACCAGTTGTCATTGTTCGTGAATTTATCTAATCAATGGATTTAGATTGCTAGATGACATTTTTCGGGCGCATTTATTCTGGCGGCTGAATTAATGTGCGGTCACATATTTTGTAAAATAAATTAAATGTATAGTAAAAAACGATAATCTTTCAAATATATATACATGCACAAATAAATAAATATATATTTTTACATAGTTGTTTCCGCCGTAGTTGTTTCCCTTTGCACGATCGTGTCAGGGCAAGATGTTGCGGCAAAGGGTTAATATATTGATTAATTATTTTTACTTTCATTTTTATAAACTTCACCACCTTTTGTATCCGCGCATCGTATGGCTCTTGTGTATGAAGTCTCTGCGCAATATGTTTTTGAACAATTAAGCACAGATCTTATAAATAATGTAGAAAACATGCTATGTTTATGAAAAATTCTAGGGCAGAGAACTTATTATAATTTATAGAAAATAATTTGCACATGTTTTATAAATTAATTCGATTAAGTAAAAATAATCGTGTTTTATGATTTATTGTGTGCATTTGTATTATTATTATTATTATTATTATTATTATTATTATTATTATTCCAAATTATTATTTAAAGACTTATTTACAAAGACTTATACACAAATCACATAATAGAGATACATATGTGTGAGTTACTAATTTCGCAAATTTATACAAAATTATAAATTATATCACGATATGGAAGTATCCCTAATGAATTAGTAGTGGTATAAATGTGGTATAAAATAGTGGTATAAAAAAAATAAAACAACGATATAAAACTCATACATACATATACAGGGTGTCCCCAATTTAAATGTCAAAACTTTAGGAGCGTGACGCTCCTAAAGTTTTGACATTTAAATTGGGGACACCTTGTATATACGATATTTACTCAAATGCCGAAGAAAAGAAATTGATGATACAAGAACATAGTAAATGGAATAATAGAATGGAGAAGGCGTTAACTTTATGTAATAACCATATGATGTAACTAACGTTAATTATATAATGAGCACTCATGTAGTAATCCTTTGAGAAAAGGAGAATAGTTTGAAGAGTTATTTGAGAAGAATCAACTGACAATGTGTTATCTGGATACATATTAATACGTTCATCTCGAAAGATTTATAACGTGCACTATTACGTATCATTACAATATACCAATATATATGGTATCGTAAATTTAATAATATTATTTAGAGATAGCAACTTTCGGTTTTGAGCAACATCGCCCGCGGGTAACCTTTGGACACGTGTAAACAGTTTTCGCAAGAAATTATTAAGCATTATCACGGATATTACACAGTGGAACATACATGTCTGATTTTCAAGGAGAAAGAAAAGTAGTCTTTTTTGCAAAAAAATGCACAAATTTTATTAAAAATGAAAGCAAGAAAAGAACAATTAAATATAAATCAAAGTTTCGAACAATCCTGTTCGATAAAGCGTCATAAAATTAGCGGAAACAATAGCGAGACAAGTTATTGCTAATGAATTACATCGATGGCCGTTACAACAATGACAAATTTGTACTATCCAAGTAAAATCATGCGCATGTTTGCTATTTATTCGACTCGCCGTTATTTACGCCAAGGTTGTGACATGACGCCGGCGGACATTCATCATCCGGCATCCGCACAGCAAAACTTTACGATCGTGTAATTTTCACCTAAGTTCGAAACGCGAAAGCCGCCAATCTCGCCAAATCGCCGAAGGTCAGGATCCGCCGCGAGCAGTTGGACATCGTCACTTCATAATGAGTCCCGATAAGCCGCCCTCTCTCTCCCCTCTCACCACACAATATGTTTCGTAATAAAATTAAACTCGTGCGTACATGGGTTTCTAATTTTCAAATTAATTATGCGGCTTTGCCTTGTATCCTCGTTAGTCTTATCTTGTCGAATTTCAAGATACTTGTTAAATTAATCTAATACCGCATTTGTGTAATTTTCCGATTGCGGCGTAGATTGTAACGCAGACGAACGAGGACGTGTAACTACTTTTGTATGTCTTGGTATTGATTGCTTACACTGAATTTCAAATAATGTAAATAGCTATTTATTCCTTCATACAAATATTTTAAATTTTATTCAAAATTTTTAAGCGCAAAGAATTTTAAATTAAAGAATAAGTTACATATCAAAATAGAATCGAAAAAATAGTATCTATAAAATTTTGTTGAAATTATTACAACATTTTCAGTATATATTATACATATATTACCAAAAATACAAAATAATGGTGCGTTTTCCAGAATATTTTATAATAATTATCAGAGCTTTGTCGCACCTTACCTTGAATTATTCGCGACGCGACCTATTAATTATAACTGGCCAATATTTCGATGATCCTATTTGCCTCCGGTAATGGAATAAGATACGCCGTAATTTGTACTCGCGCGGAGGTCATTTCGCTAACCTGAATACTATACACAGCATTTTTACTTTCACGCGGCAGATGAGTCCAACTCACTTAGGTTGCTTCAACGAAATGTTATGTAATCGATGATTAAAGAGCCGCAGACGACAGATTATGACAATTCATCACCTATAGTTTGCAGCAGAATAGACACATCCAGCACGCGTATTCATTGGAAACGCGCGCACGGAGATCGAAATGAAAAATGATATCTCATGAAATTACCGATACGCGGCATAAAAGCCCGTTTGTGCGAAGCTGCAAACTAATCAATCGTGGCACAAAAAGATCTCCCGTTATTCAAACAATTCGATGTAATCTTAATCTGGCGCCTGTGCATTATCATTATGCATATATTTGCATTTCATGTAGTTGCACTTCACATATATGAATATATACAATAAATAAAATTATCTCTATAATGTGATTAAGAACGAAGAAAAACAAGAGAAAATATAAAGAAATATTTACTTTTAAACTGAAATAGATATTTATTAAGTTTTCTAATTCAATGAATAAAATGTTTCCTGGTTAATTTTGTTTTCAATATTTTTCTCAATTTATGGTAATTCTAAATAAATGATAATTGATATTTTATTATTAGATTCAACGCATTACTTATTTATTTATTACACTGATTTGAGATACATCGGATTCTTAATATGAATACTCTAGATAATTGTGCAAATCATTGTTCTAATACTTGCAAAAATAAGCAAAATTATGTTTGAACCTATTTGCAAGTTTCTATTATGCAAAAATTTGAATACATTAAAATTGTCTTTTTTATTCTCTTTAGTCTTATAGCGCGATCTATGATATCTTTTCTTCACTCTCTGAATGCTTATGATCCATCGTTAATATTTACATGATCGTGCTACAAACGACGAGCACTATCATGTCAGAATTCTCAACTAATATTTAATTTTTAAAAAGAAAAAAAATTCGTGTAAGTTCTATTAATGATTTAACGTATCCGGTTTAACGTATCTTGCTTATTCTTGCTGTAATTATTTTTTTATTCAAAATATAATAAGGCAGAGAAAATTGCAAGTCCCAATTCTGCTTTATCGATAGCATGAGGAGAGATCGGCGTGAAATCCTGCACGAAGTCAGCTAGAGGACTCAAAGTGACATTTCCACTGTAATTTTTACACAAAGTTAAAATGACGTTAACATAATTAACGTGTAAATTACTTCTACCTGAAGATTACTCCTCTATTCCAGTTTCATAAATATTTAACATATAAAAGCAGGACACGTCGATTTTTATGCTTTTTTAAAAAAATAATTAGCCTCTTGCACTTAAATATAAATTAATATAATATTGGTAATTGCGAAATAGTGATGTGTCAGAAAAGTTTTATTGAGACACCGCAAAATCGTAAAGAAACATTCGATCTTGCATTCAGATTAAAACACTGTACAGGAGATCTTGAGTTTTTGTTGTTAGCTTTGACTTATAAATTTCACAATTAATTTATATATTTTTTTCTAAATAAGAATTCAATATCTCGCGGACACAATTCCTAAATCATAAAAAATTAAAAACCTTGAAACTCTTAAATTTCAAGGATGCAAACAGACAGAACTTTATTCTTGTTTACTAACTCCAAATATATTCGCGATTTGCGTGCGTAGAAAAATTTATATAATTATCAAAGTAATTTAACCCTGAAATTTTAGAAGTTGCGAAAAATGATGATGCCCGTATATAAGTTTTGCTTTCGAAAATAAAATTCTTCCAGCATTTTCGACAAGAGAAATATTGCGCTATTTAGCATGTACGAAATACACACAATATAAATCATTATATTCAATATGATTTACGAATGTACGATTTAGCGATTTTTTTAACTACGTGCATCAATGCAATAGGTATAGCAGGCGCATTTTCAGAATGCATCGTTGTGGAGAAGGCATTGATTCTTATTACTGAATTTGCATCTCTTTGCAGTCGCTTTGCGTGTACGAATCAGTTTCATTGAAGGCTTTCGTTTTCGCGGATTATCCACCTCAGAAGAAGGAATCCAAATGGCTACCGGTTGAAAGGATACGATCGTGCCGGTGCGAGTCCTTCGACTTATGTGACCTTTTTCTCACCGGGAGATTAATAGCGCGCGCTACAATTATGTGTAGATATGTGTTAGAGAAATTTACAGCCTCCCAAAAGAAAAAGACACGCGAGTCGCGTGCGCGTTTCGTTATCCTCCAATTAATTTTTTACGCGATATTTAAATTACAGCTTTGTATTTACTAACTCTGTATTTAGGATGTAGTTTAAATAATTTTTTACAAAGCTTTTCGAATGAAGCGATAGATACGCTGGGTTTCTATTTTTACAATTGAAATAAATAAATATAATCAGTAGAGTGCAACATCTTCATGCTTTTAATAAAATAAACATAATTATAATAAATTATCTACAAATCTTGGGCTGTGATATATTTTTTAATAATTTTAATTATTGTAAATTAAAAGTGGTATATTAAAAATTATTCAGAAATAAAAATACAGTCATGTTCACAATTTTTATTCATCATATTTGCTATAAAATGAGCAAAATCAGTAATAAAATATCAAATATATTACTATCTAAAGAGCAATTTTTCTTTAGCATTTGAAAAATATTTGAACCGTTCTGGTTTTTACATCCAAATATTCAATTATTTACTTTCTCGAGGTTCGAGAAAATAGTCGAGGAACACTAGCTGCCGCCATCATCCCGTCGTGCTACATGTCAGGATAAATGATAAATAAACTTTCGTATTCGGTTTGCGTTGCACCCGCCAAGGCTCCGCGAATTTGTTACACGTTGGTTGAATTTATAATGCGCGTAAAGTAACGAAAATTCACATAACAAGATCATCGGGTCAACGAAAAGCGTCCAAAACGCACGCCGTATTAGACAGTCTCATGCCTCTTCACCGACACCGAGAAAAATTTACAATCGACTTAGAAGCGTAGAGAACTTTTATTTCTCCCCCGAAACATACAAAGGATAATCCTTTGTAACCAACGTGTTTGCTTGACGATATTTACTTTGTTGCCTTTAATATTTTACAGCACGATACTTATGTCATGGGAGAGAGAAGCTACTTTTCAAACGTGCTTTTACTACGTATACGGATTTAATATTTTTTTTTATAATTTGTTAGTTTCCCAAATTTTTTAATAAAAGATTATATTTTAATTTTTTTAAATAGTCTTTAATTAATTTTCGAAAAATAGGTTGTTTAGTTTACCTACATGTATGTCTATATCTTCAAGCTATTTTGACTAAACTGATCTTGAATTTTATTAGCCTTAGGTAAACGCATGCCATACGTGCTTACTTTGTGAACATGTATAGCATGCGGAATACGTGTATGAAATTTCGTAGAAAAAGATAATTTTAGTAAAAAGAAGAGAAAGAGAATAAAAGAGATATTATTTATTAAGTATTAATTCTCATAACAAATGAAAAATCGTGATTAATCATAAAAATCTAGATAGAAGAAAAGTTTGAAAATTTGAAACAATAAAATTCTCAAAATGGTCCCCAATTAAGTTTTTAAGTACATTATTCGATTTTCGAGTAAAATCAATAAATATTCAACAAAGTTGAATATTTTACTAGTGAGTCGATTTTTATGTCACCATTTTTGCAGTCACCTCGCCTTAAGTTCTCATTATAATTCGTTGAATATATGTCACAACGTACATGTGAGTTAATATGTGTTAACACACTGGCTAAAAATATATTAACGAGAGAGAGAATCCCCTCGCGTCTTAGCAATGCTATATATAAGAGGCGCCTCTTCAATTTTTTCATTTTATAAGGAAACAAACAGCCGCCATCAGCATCATGAACGCTTTAGTAAGTCTATATATTATATAATAAAATTAATAGAGAAAATTATTAATCTATGTAATTATTCGTTTTTTGTGTTTTTTTTGTCTGTATTTTTAATTTGAAGAATATTGGATTGTTCATAAAGCTAAAAAGAAGTATCCTATGTATATGCATTCCTGTAATATTTTTAGTCTCAGGTTATAGAAAAAAAATTAATTATATCGAATCAGATAAATATCATATATCGATTCCAATAACAGAAGCACATGTAAAACTTGAATTTTGAACGCATTTTACAGTTGAAACATATATTCTGTATTATTCCGATTGTCACACTCATGAAATTCTTCTATCTTGACTTGACTGCATAATATTTTTAGATCGTCGTACTTTGCTGCATGTCCGCAGTATTTGCGCTTCCTGTACTGAAACCGCACGATACCCTGATCCCCAATCTGGCTTTGCATATTTACGGACCAAGCCCGGATGGTTCGTACAACTACAACTACGAGACCGGAAACGGTATTCAGGCGCAAGAACAGGGCCAGCTCGTCAAGATTAAAAATGACAAGGAGGACGCTCTTTACGTTCAGGGTTCCTTTAGTTATCCCGATCCCGATGGCAGACCCATTGCCTTGAGCTATGTCGCTGACGAGAATGGTTTCCAGCCTACGGGAGATCATCTGCCGACGGCGCCTCCGATACCCTCCGCTATCCTAAAAGCCCTAGAGTACATTGCTCAGCATCCCGAGGAGGATGACTTGTAAAAAGTTCATCATTATGTTTTGATCATATGAGTGAATTAATTACAGTGAATTAAACATTTCCGTCAATTTATAATGTCGAGAATTGAATTCATTGAAGTTATATGCCTCTAAATCACGATCTTTATGTTTTATTTTCTTATATTCACATATATATCATGCGAATTCTACGTAAGATAAATTCCTTTCACATTGCAAAGAATTAGTATTATTGTGTTAATTAAGAAGTCTTGCAGCACACGTGCACTGTGTAAAGAATCATTGCGACGGCAGTGTTTATATTTTAAGCGTTGCCCCTAGCCATGAAATAAAAGTGTTGAAGCGTAAATTCAGTTACACGTTTTTTTCTGCGATCGAGAGATTCATCTAACTTCGTTGTGCCATAAACACATCACGGATGTTCCGCTCATTAAAACATCAAATCGCTCGCGATTTGAATACATCGGTGAATGAATTCGGTTGGCTAGTTCGCGAATACAACACAAAGCAATATTTAATGATGGGCCGCATGTGTAGATGACGTAATAATGGACGTGGCGAAATAGCGGGAGATTTTGATGTAATTGTCAGCGCTGCCGGACATATCTTGTGATGCGCAAAATTTAGTATCGTTTATATACAATATTTTTCACCTGTGTATTTTTATATATTATATAATTATTACGTAAGTTTTTCGAAGAGAGTCTCTATGAAAAATTTGCATCGGAATTATCCATGCGCATCGTTTATTCTTATACAATTACTGAATTATTCTGTCTAAGTATATCCCCGAAAGTAGATTTTCGCGATTCCAGCTGAGAAATAGCACTCTCTGGGCGAGCAATATCCCGGGAACGGAGCACGTGCTAATCCAAAACGCGCGACACAATCCTCGTGCGGCGCGTATCCTCGCGGATACACAAAGCGTGCGATTTAAATAAGATAAATGCGCGCATCTTACGGCGAGACGTGCCGCGAATATAAAAACGAGAATTACGACATCGCATTAGCCGATGTCCGTTACATTCAGGAGCTCGCTTATGCCGCGTTCGAGGACAATACATGGTGGGTCTCGCACCGAAAAAGGACGAGAGATGTATGCGTATTAATAAATATACCGTGTCGCAAAATCGCGTATCGATCCGGCGTCGACGACGTAGGAGAGACAGAAAGAGACAGAAAGAGAGAGAGAGAGGGGGGGGGGAAGATCTCTAGTGCGGATGCCTCTACATTCATTTGCATTAATAGAAACGTAAAATACGACGTTGTGTTAATTAAATGAGCGTCGCGCGATTACAAATTACTCGGGAGGGGGCGATCCTTGAAATTAATTTATTCCTAAGGTATTTTCCATATTCAATGCGTATATCTCCGTGGTCGGAACGATTAAATCACTAGTTCGTCGGTGATGCCGCGCTTCAAGGAATAGCGCGGATAATAGTACGAAATTACGCGGCGAGAAGACTCTCGTCTCTCTGTTACGTTAAATTGAAAATATTTTTCGCGCAAGACAAGCCTCTTCAATCTCGGACTTGACGTCTCTCTTCTCGTAAATCACTCTGCCCCCGGGGCGTATTTTAAGGAATCTACCCTGGAAAATGTGGCGTATTCCACCAAATTTCTCCAATTCACGGTTACTTAACATATTTGTTTATCCCCATATTACATTATATAATTTGCCAATTATTTGAAAACAATAGTGAGAGAAATACACATCTATGACCATAGTTTGAATATAAATATGTGGCGTTATATAACGAAATAACATTCTTTTTTTAATAAATCTCATTAAACTTCTTTTAATTCTTATCTCCTATTCTTTGATCTGTGTATATTGGCAGGCCGAAATCGCCTACATTTCTGCAGGCTTGTATCTCGTGATATCTGTGCGGGAATCTGCATACGAGTCTCGCAATCAGGCGGATGCAACGATTGAATGCACCTCGAAATATCTAATCGCTAGCCCGATCATCGTAGATCTCTCGCGCTACCGCCACGAAATCACGCCCCGGCCGAATTGCTACTTGCGATTGACAATTCTAGATACGTTGGCTTGATCGATGTTTCGGATACCGTGCGGTAGTTACTTCAAAAATTGCATCGTGATTAATTGTCGTGAATGTTTCCCGATACAAGGTTACTGCTTCAGGAAGCAAATAAGATATTTTACTATACATGACGTAGGTAGATAACAGAATCGAGATAAATCACTTTAATAAAAATACTATTTAAAAATTAACGAAACGACTCGTTTGATCGACATTTAATTTAACGTTTCATCTAATCATCTAATCTTTCCTTCTATATATAGAACAAGACGACAATTATTTAACAATCGTCGCTCGTGTGGAAATCACGTTACTCAACTATATCAAATAATCTCATTGTAAGAGCCATCTTTATGTCGATAAATGTCTAGCACCGCCAATTAAATGCACGAAATATCTCTACACGAATCTAAAGTCTACCTCCGCGCTGACGGTAAATACAATAGCTGGCTGCATGCTCGAGAGATATGATCTGATCCCGATCATCCTCTATGCACCACGTTCCCCTTCTCGCGTTTTATCGCAATTCGCGGGATTCGAATTGTTGCGCAGACAAAACGGTTTTAAAAATCCAATGGCGTCTTCTAAACAAAGTAATGAATTCCAAGACTTTAAAGGTTGATTATGAACAAACTATTATGTAAGAATTTTTTTTAGAATGTTTTTTGTCTATCACGGTTTTTGTCTATTATTATATGTTAAAAAAATAAGTTCTCTTGAATATATATGTGATATATCTTTTTTCGTTATTTATGCTATTAAAAAATTATTTTAATTTGAAAAAAATTAGTTGTACCTATCTTTTCAGAGAAATTGCTTAATATAACAAGTATCTTCAAGATAATTTCGATGCTCATGAGCGGTTCTAAATTCCAACGTTGAACCAAGCAATACGGTTATGCAACTAACATAATTAGACTATCAGATTCGCGATTACCATTATCGGTTCCTCCTAGGTATGCGCGTCCGTCATTTCGCTTTCGTTGGATCGCGCCCTCGCCAAGGAGAAAGTTTACTTCGTCACGACATCGATTTCAGCGTGTTTCTTTTATATTATATATAGATTTTTCGATGATCCCGATTGATTCTCATATCGACCTGCGCGATCACGTAGTCACGATCGCGCGCTTAAGAAACGATAAATAACGAAATGATGATGGGATGAAAATAATGATGCCGATGCTGTGTAGCACCAACAGGTCAAGTATCAAACGTGTTTAAATTAAATATACTTCAATTGTTCTCGTTTATACAATTTAACGTAATTTCTTTAATTTACGTATTATATACATTATATGGTATCGTCAGTATATTTTCATATGTAACCCACCGAACACCATGACCTCTTTTTTTCCTACATTTTGAAATATATGTGCTCCGAAACAAGAGTTGGCGCAAACACGATCCGCGTCGATTTATCTATTGATTTTGTACAAATTTTTTGACATGAAATTATGCCGTTGATAAATTTTCCATTTCGCAATCTTTTATGCCGAAAGCATGGACGCGATGGAGTGTGTCTCAATGCTCGTAAAGAATTATAAGCGTTAGATTTTTACAGCAGGAGTTTCGCTTCGACGTGATTAAACGTGACGATCCTCGCGCGCCTCTCTTGCGACATAATGTCATAGATCATGGATCGCTCGATTATTGTATGAATAATGAATCATGAATTATCCAGTCGTGAAACTAGAGAAAATACTGCAATTTTCGTCTTTTCCAAAATTCCAATTCCAACAAAATAATTTGCAAGATAAATGTATTTAACAAAAAAATCTTGTTAACAATATAGGGTTTGTTTGTTTGTATTCTGAAAGTAATCCCTCGTTAATGATTGTACGAACTTATTCCGATAAATCGGTAGAAGAGAGGCAACACGCGCGGCGTATAAGCTTGTGTGGAAGGCGACCTTGACATATAAGTACATACCACGAACGTTCTAAGAGAGCGCCTGCCCGCAGGCGAGAAGACGTAACGTGTGCACGCCGAATTCAATTTTACTTTCATCCCGCGCAAGCGGAACGTTCTCCCGGAGGCAAGCGCGCGCGAGGATTCTGCGAAAATTACTTTGACAACTCGTGAGAGACGAGACGACCCACGACCGACTTTTAAGGCATCCGATTAACATGAGAACGCCGGCTGTTCCTTCCTCAGTACTTGCACGCCTTTTAAACCCCCGACGGTGGTCTGTTTGATATTCGTGAGACAGTACTGTTCTTCTCCAACAGACACCCGGTGAGCTCAATACAAATCTGCGCGACTGTCTCGTGCACATCTCAGAAACATCAGAGAAATTATTATGGATATAAAAGAGCGACGAAGAATATTTTCTTACATAATTTTCTGATGAAAAACATTAAAATCGCTAAGCAAGTAGTTGCAAATTTAAACAATAAATCAATTTCCAATTATATCACCATTACTTCCGCTTCTCTGCTTCAAGTCCTCGGGATTATTACTGGCATCATTGCTAGAGTAATTATGTTCATCAGGCAATGAGTCATTGAAATGATATTTTTAAATTATAGCTTCGAGCAATAACATGAGAAGAAAGAGAATAGCCAAGATCCAATTATCAGTTCATCTCGGGTTAAGGTAGAAATAATATGCAAGAAAATTCATTAATCATCCATAACGATGTAACAATCACGTACATATCTATGACGTATTTAACATAAATATTTGTCATGTAGTTACTCAGAATAATACCTTGAAACTTTATATTTGAATCAGAAATGATAAATTGTAAAAAGAACTGTGAATAGATAATGATATGACATATAATATTAATAATTAATCTTTACTTTATTTCGCGAATATATAAAACTAATACATATAATACTGTTGATAATATCATTAATAATATTTTTAATGACCTCGATTTTTGATGCGTTTATAATAAGATAAAAAATACGTGAACATTGTAATTATTGTCGTTGAAAATTCATCAACTTTGTTTTCAAAAATAAAGTAAAAATTAATTAAACTGAGAAAATTTGTTAATTGTCAATGAAAAAATGTAATCAGATTGACATTATAACAATATATACTATTTGTGTTTTGAATGTTTTATTCATAGCCATACTAAAGCCATACTAAAGTGTTACAATAAGCGAAAAAAAGCTAATCACTGCATAAAATCCTGATATTAAGTTTTTTGTTAAATACAATAATAGATAAAAAGATATTATTATGATGTATGATAGAGAGACGTATTTATTAAATCTGCTATGCTTTAAAAAAACATTGTCGATTTATAAAGAAATCATTATTTCAATTCACTATTTACGGATGCGAAATCGCATTAAGCATTTGTCCTATTAAATAAATAAATATATATAATATTAAATTACAAGACTATATATTATAATATCCGTACTGTACGAAAGAAAATTTTTGTAGGAATAAATCAGACCTCTCAAATAGCGATGGATAGACTAAGGGCGAAGGATCCGCGAGGCTTCAAATGTGAGGAGATGCATCTCGCGCAAGAGACTCGAA